TTTTTCAAATAAAAAGTAGTACCTACTAAAAAGTCTTTAATATTTTATTAGTCAGTATCTTGTGGAATGCCAATGTGGAGAAACATTTTCATTCGAAAAATACCAATACCATTTTTGCTTGGAAACAGAAGCAGAACCCATATCCCAACCCTATTTATTATCCCCTCAAGGAGACAGTAACTGCGAGAGCCCCAATATCTTCAACGGTAGCGGGGCTTCTCAAATTCCAGGTAAAATTAAAATGTATTGTTTTGTTTGGCCACCATATAAACTTATTGATTTATTTTATCAGACAATGAAGTTGCATTAACGGCCAAGTTGGCAGAAGCGGTCCAAGCTCGACCACCACTGTGGGACCATACATTGCCTCTCAAAGCCAGAGGGAAAGATGTGAGAGAAAAATTATGGAGGCAAGTTTATGAAGAACTGTCTCAGCTTGAGAAAAAGTGGAACAATTTAAAGGATACTTCCCTAAAACATTTTAAGTGAGATTTCATTTTCATCATATTATTTAAATATAGTAGGTATAGGCTAAGGAATTATATGTTCAGTTTAATTCGACATATTTGCTCATGGCAACTTTTAAATAAAATAATGATGGTGTACTGCAAATATATGTACATTGTACAGTTACACTCAGACAAATTGAAAAGAAATTAAGGTTTCAATCATTTTCTTTATTTCAGGACCTACAAACCTACTGGCTCAGGTGCAGAGAGTAAGAAAAAGTGGATCCACTTTGATTTATTGTTGGCTAAAAAGAACATGCCAAGAAAAACAATGAGTTCTGATCCAGGGCCAAGCCCAGGCACATCTAGTGGGGTATCTACAGGACCACCAAGTGAGGAATCTTCAGTACCGTTATCGAGTAGCGGCACAGATAAAGGAGTGGAAACACCAAAAACCAAGAGGAGGAAAAAAATGGTAGGTATGTATGTATGTATGTATGTATGTACATTATTTTCAAATTAGTAATTAAACAAAAATAATATAATATAATTGAAGACGAGTCTGAACAGCTCCTCATGGATATTTCAAAGGAGCCACCACCACAGCCAACTGCAATATCAGTATCACCAGCCCTGCTGACAATTCAGTCAGTGCTGGATAAACTGCCTACAAGAGTTCGTATGCAAGCAGAAATTGAGATGCTCAATAAAGTATATACATTGTTCAATGAAACTGTAGAATAGTTTACTCAAAGCACAACACTTAGTTTTACTAGTGACCATAATTTTGTAACACTAAACATGAGTTTCACATTAGCTTCATCAGAAGAATAAATTCAAATAAATGAAATTTTTTATTTTCTTTCGAATATCCTAGCATCATTAGCTAAGCTTGTGTGGAGTAATAAAAAAAGTGCTCTTGGTCTGTGTTGCAGCACTTGTTCTGTTGGTAGGTTTGTGTGTTTGTTAGTAAATCACCAAAAAATACAAACAAACATTATTATTAAAAATTATTTTTTATTCAAAGCATACTAAATATAAAGAACTATTTAGTCCACTGTGGCTCAATTGGGGATATATGTACAAAATAGTCAGAAAATGTCTGACGGACAACACTAGCTCTTTGTGAATATGCATTTCCACCCATCCTGCGTACATTAAGTAATCCATGTTCTACTTCATTTCTCCACTCGCCTTCAATAATTTCTTCTTGTTCATTTTCCCTGTCAACATAACCAACAGGACAATATATTTTGTTTCCACCTCTGTTTAACTTTTTCATTTCACGTTTTATCAAATAGTTGTGCAAACACACCACTGCTCCCACTATTTTATCTATAGTTTCAAGTTTGGCAATAATAGGTCTTTCAAGAATTCTCCATCTTGCTACTAAGATACCTAGACAGTTCTCAGCAATTCTTCTAGCTCGACTTAATCTGAAAATTATGAACATTGATGTATCTAATGAATTTATTATCAATTAATCTTACCTATAATTGAAAATTCTTCCATTCTGGGGTAGGTAGTTTCCAGGAAAAGGTCGCATGAGATTAATTCCTAATGGAAAGGCTGCATCTCCCACTAAGCAGTATGGAATCGGATCACCATCTTGCCACAGCTTCCTTGGTGGAGGTAAATTTATACCATTAGAAAAAAATGTTTGGCCAAAATTACTATTCCGAAACACTTCCCCATCACTTTGTCTACCTTTTGCTCCAATGTCAACTACTGTGAAGCAGTAATCAGCATCGCATATGGCCAACATCACAATACTGAAGAAATCTTTATAATTATAAAAATCTGAACCAGTGCTTAAAATTTGAAATCATTAATTTTTCTAGAGCTGATATAGGTAACTATCACTTTTTTAAAAAATATAATTGCACAGAACACTGTATCTAATGAAAAATTACCTGAATTCTAATATGTTTTCCATCAATTGCACCAATGCAATTTGGAAAATTCCATTTATTTTTAAACCTATTTGCAATGACCTTCCACTGTTCTTCTTTGGGAAATTGCAAATATTCCTGGGATAAGATTTCCCAAATAGCAGAGCAAGTATTTTTAATTATATTAGATACAGTACTCACTCCCAATCTGTAATTATATGAAATTGTTTTCATGCTCACTCCCGCTGCTAAATATCTGAAACAAAAAAATGTAATAATTATATTAATGTTCATCATTAGAATCTGATCACACTGTTGGGTACTTAGGCCTTCAAATTTATCTCGGAAAACCTACCAGCGGCAATAACCAATAACAGAAATGTAGTACCTATATAAATATTACCTTAAGGTTGCTGATAACATTTCGCTTGGAGTTATCGGCTCACGTGCATAATAAGACTTGCTTATAATTGGAGACACCTTTTCCAGTAAAAAATCGAAGTCTTTTATGCCCATTCTATGGAAATTAAAAAACTTTTTTTCATCTTTCAACCTCATTTCTTGAACTAAATTATGATAGGCTCCTTGCCGTTTTCTGCACTTGAATATTTCACAGGTACCGATCGTCCGCATTACATTATTACGCCTTTTCTTCACGATGCAACGATGGATCGTCTTCTTCGGCGCCAATGAAGACAATTTTGTCCTGCTTCCATAATTAACGGAAAGCTATTTTTGAGCGTTTTTTTTAAATGTTTGATAAACACGTTATGAATCTTATTTCTTATTATGTCACAAACCATCGTTGTCACAAATTGTCACAAACTACGTCAAGACCCGGAAATACCAACAATTTAGCATGCCACCAGAAACGTGCCAGAAACATTAAAGTTAAATGTTCCCAAAGTGATTGCGAAATTCGTTCCTATATGAACGGACTGAGAATATCGCGATTTTCTACATTCAAAGTTGCATTCGCAATTGCGCGATTCGCATCTATATGAACTAACCTTTAGTGGTAAAACAGTGTAGTGTTATAACATAATTGTTATTTTTCAGCTGATCAAGAGGTCATTGAGAGTGAATCTTGTATGAACAAAAGTGTTACGAAACGCTCAAGTGAGAATGTTCATTCACATTCATAATCTAGGCACATGTGATTTATTTTCACATTTCAGCTTCCCCAATGGGAAACATCAGGAGGCGCTCTTGGAATCTATATGAGAAATCCACTGTTATGAGAATTTTTAAAGATACATTTTCAACTGGAAAACTACCGTCTCTGAACAAATGCCAGGAGGCAATTTTATGCAATGCAGAATTGCAAAATCGCAGTCCTGTGCAACTCAAAACATGGTTGCATAATCAGGTGAAAAAAAACCTAATATACCAATGAAAGGTATTTTGGATAATATGAAATTCTTTACCTACAACTGTCAAGTACTAATTGTGATTTGATACTCATTTTAATATCTTGTTGACATATATTACAGCATTAGTGGTTTTTTGAATTACTGCACTGAGTGCAGTAATAAGATTTGAAATGATATTCGAACACTATGAATCTCAAACTTTAGGAAATTTCCTCATGTGCAAGTTCGAACTACAATAATTAACAATGCATTCTGTAAAATGAAAATTTTGAAGAAAAGCCCTATTATTGTCTTTAAAACAGTGGAATTCATTTGAATATCCATTGAATCGATAATGAAGAATGTAATTATTATGATACTCAGTTGATCTCCTTCTATAAACGAAAAACTGTAGCTCTGTCGGGTATCATTGAAAAGCATTTCTTATGACCTTCAATATGAGGTATCACAATATGTAGGGGGTTGCCATTTGAGATTATTTAGTTGGGGTTGCTGAGGGTGAGGAGCTGAATGGGAACAGGTTAGTTGATAGGTCATTTTGGTTCACCCTCAATATTATAGAATTCATTTAGAGTGATTTTCGAATTTTTTTTTGTTCCCAGATATAGCCATTGTAAGTTTTTGAATTGTCACCCTGCATATCAAATTAGATAATAATTGGATGAGTATTTACTGATTAATAATTATTCTGACAGTTGTAGATAGAGTTTGTTATGGAATATGTGGGATTTAGCCTCATCATGCAATCCTCATATTATGTGTGCCTCAATAATTTTATATTCCACTGATCACTTAAATAACTATTTTTTATATTTTCATCAGTTTTACTATATTTTTTTTTTCGTTTTCAGTTTTGTTGTGTTTGTGTTTGTTAAAGCCAAAATTAAACGTACCCCATGGAGCAGCTCTGAAAAATCAGTATGGCTTATCAGAGTCTGAAAAGTTATATCAATGGAGGCATATTACCTGTTCCGTCAGCCGGTTCTGTAAACATGGCCATTATTATTTTATGTTGGCAATTCTTAGCTTTTAGAATGACCAATGACAGCCGTCAGATAGAGCTCTCTCTCTACCTTTTTACCACCTAATAACATGATGGTGATGCTGTAAGATTTTCCACTTTATATGGTTAATAAAACTAATAATTAAAGTGAGTGACTTTAATTAATCATAGTAGGTGCTAACCCTAATAATACATGGTGGCAGCGTGAATCACGACTCCAAATCAGCGAAAATGCCTGATACATCTCCTGTTGCTCCTCCTAACCTCACTCTGAATGTATCTCCTCCAGAACAGTTCAAGTTCTCATCTCCGTTAAACTGGCCAGCATGGAAAAAACGATTCGAGAGATACATATCCGTCTCAGGTCTCTCGACAAAGTCGAATCAAGAGAAAATAGATATTCTGATATATCTCATGGGAGAGGAAAGTGAACAGGTGCTCCTTACGTTTACTCAGCAACCTACTACATTCGAAGAAGCATTGAAATCATTCGATGATTACTTCATTCCAAGAAGGAATGTTATCTTCGAACGCTTCAAGTTTAACTCAAGAACTCAGCGTCCAGGTGAATCTGTGGATAGCTTCATCACATCACTCCACTCGCTTGCTGAATATTGTGAATATGGTACCCTCAAGGAACAACTAATAAGAGATCGCATTGTCGTGGGAATGGCTGATACTAAAACTAGTGAACGACTTCAACGTCAGTCAAATCTAACCTTGACAGATGCAATTCTTACTGCAAAGCAATCAGAAATACAGAGTAAGCAAAACTCTATTCTGCGAAATGAATCTTCTCCATCTGAGGTCCAAGCAATACATCATAGGTCAGCTAACTTCAAGAAAACCTATGATAAAGCTCCTAATAAACCACAGAACTTCTCTGAATGCCAGTATTGTGGAAGTAAACCATCTCACCTTCGACCTGTTTGCCCAGCTCGTAACTCAATTTGTAGAAGCTGCAAAAATAAGGGTCATTGGGACCGTGTTTGCAAGATCACACAACAAGGGCAGAAAACTAAACCAATTAGGAATGTCAGAAATATAAATTCTGACTGTGAGACACCTAGCTCACAAACTCAAGAAGTGGATAATGAACAATTTGTTGGAAGTATTACTCGTACAGTCACAGGTATTTCTACTAATAATGTCAATAAATGTCCAGGACATTCTGTGAGTACAGTAGGGTTTAATGATAATGATCAATGGATGACTAAGTTAAGGATGAATGATAAAATTCTCTCATTTCTTGTAGATACAGGAGCTGATATAACTTGCATACCTCTTCACATGCTCAATGAGTCTATGTTAAATTCTATCGAAACATGCAGAGATTGTATATCAGGTCCTGATGGAAAACCACTCAATGTGTGTGGAAAAATCACAATTTTATTGAAAAGTGACTCAACGAATAAGTCATTCCCTACAGATGTTTTTATTATCAGAAATTTGAAGATGCCTATTTTAGGAAGACCA